AGATATTTGCCCTTCATATTGTAATTCATTGTTGCAGATTACATGCTTGATTTCATATGCATGATTGCTACTTGGTTTAAAAAGATATTTCGTTATGGCAACACTCTGACTGTACAGCTCAACTTGTCTCGGTTTGATTGGGGATCCTTGCCTAGCTTATGAGTTGAACATATGAGTGCCCCAAGCCTGTTAGGCCTGGCTAGTCTTTGTTCTCTCCCTACCTATGTCTTCTAGACTCACATGTCTTCATAATCCACCTTTCTTTTGAAGTAATGATTAACAAAATATCATTTGACATAGATCAATGATATTTGGTACATCATTGTGTTATTGTAGTCGAGCAAATCGTTATCCAAGCTTTTAGGGCACACTGGACAAGTAATGTCATTGGATTTCCACCCACGGAAGGTCAATCTCCTTTGTTCATGTGATAATAATGATGAAGTCCGACTGTGGGATATCAACCAATGTACTTGCACAAGCATCTTTAAGGTAATAATATCTTGATCATTGCATTTGTTATAGTATAATTGTTGCATCTGAGTCATTTCCATGTTATGATCCACTATATTCTAATTCTTAATTTGAAGATGATGGGGTAGACAAGTTTCTCTTGGACTTTCATCCATCAAGGCCTTACCTGAATCTCCTCGTGGACTAACTGCAGGGAGCAACTAAACAAGTCAGATTCCAGCCTCAATTTGGAAAAAATTTGGCCACTTCGTCAGGAAATGGTATCAATGTATTTGATGTTGAGACTGGGAGTCTCAAGTTTTCCTCGAAGGTAAGCCTTAAGATCATTCATGCGTTTTAAATGCTCCTATAGCTATTGTCAATGCATCTAGATGCCAAGTTCTTGCACAGTTTACTTGATAGAAAGAAAACTTATTTCAGGGATCCGGACATGTCAAAGATGTTGTTTCACTTTGCTGGGATACCAGTGGGAAGTATCTTGCCTCTGTTAGTGAAGACAGTGCAAGAGTTTGGTCTACTGCGTCAAACGGAAAATGGATACATGAACTGAAATCAAATGGCAATAAATTCCAATCATGTACATTTCATCCTGGATATCCACTACTCTTGATCATTGGTGGTTACCAGGTAACTATTAATACTTGATTTAAATTGCTGCTGGGGATTTGGTGAGGCTGTTTGTGCCTTGTGTCTGTACATGAAAACGGGGTTCTGCACTTTCATCGTTTAGTGGGTTCCTTTACAGTAGATGCAAGCTTTTCATATTAGCATTGGATACGTTCAAGGAAAGTGAAAACAAGGTTTTTATTTTGCTAGAATATGAAAGTATTAGGATGAAAATGTTTTTAAGAACATAACAGGTAGTGTTTATTAAGCTGCATTATGACAAGTATTTGAGCCTTCGGTTTTTATAAGGATGTTAGGATAATGAAGTTTGGAAATGTTAAATTATCGGTTTGTTCTTGGCAGTCCCTGGAGTTGTGGAATCCAAGTGAGAGCAGCAAAACATTGACAGTTCCAGCGCACAAGGGGCTAGTTGTTGCACTGGCAGAATCCCCAAAGACTGAAATGGTTGCCTCAGTGAGCCATGATCAGTGTGTCAAGCTATGGAAATGAGAGACCTACCTGTCAACGCCACAGCGCCTGCATGAGGAAAATATGGAGAATATGTAAATTGGGAATGGAAAACAAGCGAAAGATACAACTTTTGTTAATGACCTGCCTTATTATAGGAGAGAACAGGTCAAGTCAATTATACCTTAATCTTTGATATAGGCACAGTTGCATTCTTGAATTTACAGAATTCAAACATGGCCAGCATTAAAAAAAGAAACGCATGCCGCCATGGTTGTTTTCTGAAACCCAAAAATATATATATATATATATATATATTATGTAGTTGAAGTTAAACAAGTATATTTCCAAGAGTACTTTGATGTCCTTTTTTCTTCTATTTTTTGAGAGTTTGTTGTCAATTTTTTGGAAGCTTAATGGATATTTTCTAACAAAGGATCACTGTAATTTCTGATCAACCATATAATCAACTTAAAAGGTTCATTTCGTGAAAACAGTTTGCTAAGCTTCAGAGTAACATTTTCTTTATCCTCCTCACCCACAGTTAATTTCTCATCTCTTGGTGAGATTAGGATTTTACCATGAAGCAGTAGAGTATTTTGTGCACGCATTTTCAGGGCATGTTTCCACAAAAGACATCAAGCATTAGAAATTATGCCTCGGAATTCATATCAAGCTGAATGGGATTTTGTTAATCAAACCCAGGAAACATGTTACGGCTATGCCTGGTTTTAGATAAATCAAAAGCTTGTGATGGAAAACAAATCGAAAAAGAGAAGCCTGCACTACAAAAATTTTGATGTATTAAATCAATCTACAATGCAGAACTGCTTTTGCTAGTTCTATTCTATCATTTGATTCACTTCCATAGCTCTTCCATGGGGATACCACGTTCCCGAGCCACATCACTAAACTGCCGCATTTTCTGGATACCAACTACAGTCGCTCTGGCATTGTTCAGAGCATTCTTGCTTCCCAGTTGCTTTCCTAGAGCATTTTCTACCCCTGCCATTTCGAGCACGATTCTGACAGAACCTCCAGCAATAACTCCAGTACCGGGAGACGCAGGTCTAAGCATTACCTTGGCTGCTCCGTAATCTCCCTCAGATCTGCGATTCATCAGGTCAACAAAATAGTGAATGCAAAAATTGACATGAGATGATGAGATGCTGCATTAAAAGGTATTTGGCATTATAAATTACAAGTGCTATGATGCCTATATAATAGATTTAATAGCTCAAGTTTAAGACCATCTCATGCCATGGCTCTATTTCAAAAAGAAATTGGGAGCACAGGAGAGCACTCCCATTGACAATTATTACCTGTCAACTTTTAGGAGCAGAATATAATAAAAACAGTTCCTCCCAAAGAGGAGAATGAAGATAGCTTTCTCTACATAATGTTTTTCCATCTATGATCACATAAGGTATTGGCATTGTAAATACAAGTGCTATGACTGTTGCAGGCAGCACAGCGCCCACACACAGCACGCCAGCATTTCATCAAACACTGGAGGGCAATTCCCAGAGAGCATCCACACCTTCAAGGAGTCACTGCAGTTGATTCAATGATAAATTTTCGACCTTCAGGGTCAACTGACCCCCTTTGCCCCTTAACGCATCCACCAGTGCCTAAATCCTTTGAAATCTTGTACTTAAGTGATTCACCAAAATATCAACCATAAGACTACTCCAGAGAATACATACTACTTCAAGTATAGTTAGCATGCAATGTGAGCAAACTACAAATACCAACCAAATTCAGCTCTTCATATTGTCTCAGAACTCAGACACCAAAATTTAACCAATTCTCATCCTGTCTAACATATTTCAAATTCTGATAGGCAGTCTCATACTAACAAGCAGGGCTCACCCACAAAAAATGCAATTACATTCAATTCCAAGTTCTACAAAATCCAAATGCAGAAGCGTCCAAACCACCAAATGACCAAGAGGATCAGTTTCACACAGTTCAAACACAAGGTCGTCAAAATAAATCCAACTCAGATGTAGTAATGACCATAAGTAGGCTGAAAGCCAAGTATTCGGTCATTGACACAGTGAATACTAGCAAGTTAGGCATTCATCAATAATGAAATAACATTCAATTCCACACTCTTACAAACCCTGAAGTGCAGTATTTTCAACACCACCAAAGATCAAACACACAATTCAAACAAAATGTCAACCAAAACCCAGAAGTAGAAATGGCAATACCTATGAGGAAAAGTGAGGTACTTGGTCATGGGCACACTGATAATGTTCCTTCTAGCATTCACAGCAGACTTTTGAACCGCACCAATAACCTCCTTGGCTTTGCCAACACCAACACCCACTTGGCCCTGCTTGTCACCGACCACCACAATAGCTCTGAAATGCAACTGCTTGCCTCCTTTAACCACCTTGGTGACCCTCCTCACTTGAACCACCCTCTCCTCAAACCCATCTCTGATCTTCTCCTTCTTCAATTTCCCAAAAGCGCCCGTCTTTTTTACGTTAGAGTCCATTACGTAGATGTCATTGCCCAGAACGCTCACGCCACTGTAGGCTGGACCGTACAGCTCCTCGTAAGCTGCGGCGATCTCGTCCTCGGTCTCAGACGACTCGTCATCGAAGGAAGGTGGGGGGACGAAGCCTTCTGGGACCTCAGGGGGCTCGAAGACTCCGTCGAATTCGGGGTCTTCGTTGTCGAAGAAGGAGGTCTCGACGTCAGCTGCTGCGGCATTGAAGATAACAGTGGTGGGTCGTGACGAGGAGGTGGACGAGAGGAAAAGAGAAATGGGTCTTTTGGGTTTGGTTATGGAGGTGGTGGTAGCTGTGAAAGGGGAGAGAGAGAGGCGTGGAGAGGTGTGGAGAGAGAGAGAGGAGAGAGAAGAGAGAGATGAAGAGCTGGTGGACATTGCCATGGTGGAACTGTGAGAGTATGATTGGGTTTCAGAGAAGGCTTATCTCTAAAGGCCACAGCTTGGAGATGCAGGATGAGTCATCACCTCATCGCCAAGACGACGGTGAGATGTACATGATGTTGCAAATTGTCAGTGGCACGTTATACGGCTAGTCGTTTTTCCTCCATACGACTTGTCTTTTCACAGCGAAAACTGTGATTGCAATTTTTCTTGTTATTATTTCTTTTCTGCAAGTGAGATGGAGTACTTTCATAGTGGGCTGGATAGACAATATGCCAGCGCAATCTCAGCTCAGCCCAACTCTACAGCCTAACTCTCCAGATCAGCCCATTTCACAATCCTAAGCTTATATAAAAACAATTTCTTATGTGAAGTGAGAGTGGGTGTAGAACATGTCTTATTTTTAGTTTTCTTTTTCTTTTTTAAAGTCAATTTTTGAATTTTGAAACTTGGGTGTTTCACATGATTGTTGATTATTATACATATGCAATTACCTTGAACTTGTGGAATTTAGCCCAAAAAAATATTAATACGTAAAATAGACTAATTTAAGAAAAAATTTAATTTTATTCCACTGAGGATATAATTGACATCACATAAATAATTTGATTTTCCTGTATCTTCTCCAACACATGAATCACTTGGTAAAATCATGTGCCAGTGAAAGGAAAGTCAAAAAGTAACAAATTACTCAACCATGCAATGTAATGCAATCAAATGTTGTTCAGCTCCTCCACTACGACTTGTCGTCGTCAGTCGTTATGCTGCTGTTATAATCAAAAAGACAAAAGTCATCACAATACTTGTAGTGATCAACTTCCGGGAGTGTCCCAAGGCCTTTGTAGCAGTCATCGATCTCAAACTGATCATCGTTTGCCATCCTCGTCATTGCTCTACTCTGTGACGGTGATGGTGATGGGGCAGGCTCGACCCCCGCCAATGTAGATGGTTGCGTAGAGGTTTCGATATGTCCAGTGGAGTCGTTAGCTTCCTCACATTGTATGTGTGGCGAAGAAGCACCCGTCATGGACAATGCAATTATGGTGTTAGCTTCTTTCTCTTTCTGAAGTTGGTGTACAAGTAGTGCTAGAGATGATGATGATGCATCTTCTTCATCCCTAGCTACATAGATATACGCCGAAGGTGCAGGTATGTCAGCGGTAGTGTTGTGGTTGTTGCTATAGCTTTTGGCATTGGTGTTGGTGTTGGCGTCGGCGTAGTTCGGGTTGGAGACCGGAGTGTTGCCTTCGGCGGTGGTGTTGCGGTTTAAGTTGTTGGCTTTATGGTTGGTTGTGTTGCTGTTGTTGTTGTTGTTGTTGTTGATGTTGATGTGTGCGGGGGGCTTGGCATGTATTGATCCTGCTCTCGTTTCTGTGGAGATGTACTGTTTCCTCAGCATGGAAGTAAAAGAAGCTTAGTTAAGACAACATTAATTGAGATAAGCAACATGAATGATATCTATATGCAACATGCAGAATTAAAAATACAGCAAACATTGACAGTTCAGATCTGTGTAAGATATGACCAGTTCATATTAATGGTCTTGCCATAAACTCTAGAGATTTTCTCCTTTTGGGAATATCATTATTATTATTCTTTTTTGTAAAAGGTTACATGAAGACGAGCCAAAACGCCAGTTTTAGTCTTCTATTCTGTGGTATTAAAGATGCTCTTAGGCTGTCTTTTGTATAAGGCAGGTCCTGCCAACTAATTGGAAGCGTTTCTAAACTCTCAGGCCAGTCAGGTGCAAAATACTCGTGTTATTGCCAACACATCTCCATCAATAGCCTTCCTATTTTTTTTTCATACATGAACCTTTCCATTTGGTCTTATAACATGTACCTTCACAAACTATCCTCCTCAAGATATAGTCTTCGTAATGGAAAAAGATAAGCTCAAACAAGCTCTTCAAATTGTATTCAATTTTCAAAATCCCATTTTAAAATGCAACAGGTTTTGTTTTAAGGAAGAAAAGAAGAACTCACAAGGTTCTTGTCTTCATCCTCCAAAAGACAAATGCAATCTCCCACCTCCAACTTGTTTTGCTTAACAAAGTCGCCTGTTGCATTAAAAAAATGGAAACTCTGGTTAGTAAAGTTAACATATTTGCATGATTGTCAAAGAGAGTGACCCAAAAGCAATGAAATTTATTAGCAAGTGTGTCAGTTTTTTTTTACCTGTGTTCTCTAAGAGGTACATTCGACTTTTGTTATTTGACCAATACCTGTGTGTGTTCAACAGACAGAAAAAATGGCTTCAATTAAGTGGCAAAAAACTCTTGCTATAGATGGGCTTGCTTACCATTAAAATATTAACTTATAGTATTGTCCATACACTTACTTATACTTCAAGCCCCACTCCTGGTCAGAATATACATCTCTGATCATCAGCTGGATGCCTTCTTTGTCAGAGAGCATTGGAAGGTTTTCCTCTGCTTCTTTCTGTGAATGAGATGGTAGAACACGGTATTAGGTCAGCTTGGACGATATCAGAGAGTTTCATTTCTTTTAATATAATGTTCATAAAAAGATGAGGAGAATCATTTTGCAGTAGTCAATAAGAGTAAATCAAATCAGAGTAAAGAAGTTGGTTGGTTGGCCCTTTTACTTCTTTCTCTTTCCCTTAGAAAAACAAAAAACAAAAAAAAGAGTAAAAGGAGTTAAAGCCAAACAAGTGGAGATTTTACAGGCAAACAAACATCACCTTTGGAAGGACAATCCTGCCCAAAGATCCAACATCACTGTTCTTCAACTCCTTCTTAAACATCACTCTCAGTTTCTGTAAAAGAAAAAACAAAAGACACAGAATTAATAATGTAAAGAAACACATGCAAAATTCAGATTTGAGATCACAAAATCTACACCTTGTTATCCGGCGTGCAGAACGTGTAGAGGTGTTTGTTGATGTTCTGCATATCAGTACCAGCACCAGACGATGACGTGGACATACTTCCTCGATCATCATCCTCATTCCACAGAAATGGAGCATGCCTCCTTGAAGATGGAGAAGAAGACTCAGAAGAAGCAGCAGCATTGGCATTGTTTCTGCTCAAACTGAGACTCCTCTGTCTGGCCATCCTTCTCTCCTTTCTCGCCGCCTTGGAGACTAATGCATCCAGAGTCCATCCTGATCTGGCCAGGCTGTCCTGCTCTGTGGACACTACCACATTTGGCTGGCCACTGACCAGGAACGGATACATGGGCTGACCGGCCTGCTGATAAGGATATGAGTATTGGAATTGCAGGCCCGGATTTGGTGCTAGATACTGTGCCGGATAACAATAGTACTGAGTGGTTGAAGGACTACAAGTTGTTGAAGGGGAACAGCTCATTGGTTCGCAAATGGACAACTGTGAATGATGCTCTTGGGGAGCGGAGGTTATGGTTGATGTGGAGGGGATGGAAGGTGGGTGGAAGTTGTCCATTTCCAGATTTGTGAACACAAAGAGTGTTTGTTGACAGTGAGGGTTGGTCTTTGGGTTGGTGTTGGTGATCAGAGAAGGTGGTGGTGGTATCCTGGTTTTATGTTAGTGTGTTAGTGTGTGTGTGTGTGTGTGTGTGTATAAGCTGCAGGCTATGGGGAAGCTGGGAAGCTTGGGATGCTTGGGATGCTGCCAATGGAGAGAAGCCAGGTGTGGCAAGAGAGAGAGAAACACATAAGGGGGTGCGGGGGAGTGGACAAGGAAAGAGAGAGATAAGAAAAAATAAAGATAAACATAAAGAAAAGGCCGAGGAGGAAGGCCAGCGAGTGAGAAAATTGGGGTGAAAGAAAGAGAGAGTATGGGATGGAAGAGTAGGAGCTGTCAGATGGGGTGGAGTGAGTGACAAGTGGCCGGAGGCTGGTGGTTTTGGAAAACCCATCTGACCAGTCTGTGAAAAGAGAACAGAATCAGAGAAATGGTAGACAGCAGAGAGGAGAGGCTTCAAACTTGGCGCCTCTTATGGTTCAAATTTGGCAGACTTTCCTTCTGTCATACCACATTTCTTCCTTCCTCTGCTTCTCTGCCTCTCTGAAGACTCACTCTCACTCACACTCACACTCTTTCTCTCTCTAAAGCCAGCATCCCAGGCGCCTACCAGCCTTAACCTGCAACAAATAATAAGATGGAAAAGTTATTGGAGTGCTATTTTCAGGGATGATTTCCTCTCTTTGCAACCAGGCTTCACGGTGTCTCATATGACAAGTGCCATAAATGTCACATAAGACAAAATGAAGCCCAACATTGCAAATTAAGACCTTCCCCAGAAATACCACACCAAGAACTCAACCTCTTAGGTTGTTATATTTTATTTTTATTTTTTATATAATAAGATTTTTTTGTTAGAGGGTTAGGTGTCGTTTTAATTTATTATATATGTTTTTATTTTATGTAATGTTAGGAATGTGAGTAAAAGATTGTTATAATGTTGGGAATGTGAGTAAAAAGGAGCAGCACAACCTGGTGAACTCGAGGGATTTTGAGTTTTCATTTTCATCTTAACTTGAACCACTTCAAGTTCATGATCTGATACCATGTCTTGCTCGCTTGTCATTATATCACCCACAATGTGAGAAATGAAACCGCCTACGAGTCCATCCTGCATAAAAAACATTTCTTCTTTACAATCTTATGGTCACAGAAGCATGATTCGTTCTATGCAGAAAATGCATACATATAGTGCCTTCCGCTATTCTCTTAAACTGAAAATGGTGTCAAGCATTTATAAAATGTAATGAATTGTAACTGATAATAATAATAATAATAATGGAAGTTCATATTTATCCCCACAAGTTTGTCATATCTGTATACGCTAAAGAGGAAACCATATATCCCTTTGGTTAAAAATGGAAGCAAATTAAACTTAAAATTTTGCTACTTCATGATCTTTCTTTCTTGGGTATGATTTTGATATCTTACCAACTCCAATCCATAAGGTGATGTGAGGTAATAGAAAAACAATTTGAAACAAGACCACAGGCAGAACCTATAGATAATAATCTAAGCATAGAAGGTAATCCAAACAACACATAAACAAACTGGGGATCCTAATAGAGGCCTCATAACTGTCATACAAAATTCACACACAGGTACCTGCTGAAGAAAAAAAATTCATTTATAAAATCATAGCAGCAATGCTGAAAGAAAATTAACAACCATGCCAGAAAAAAAGCCATATGATGCAGTATTGCTGCCTAGTACTTACAGGGTTAGCCACAGAATCACTGTGGTATTCACTTTGACTAGGAAGCTCCATGACAATGAATTGCTCCTATACTCGTCACCAGAGTGAAAATTTCAACTGCTTCTGTTATAAATGAAGACAAGGTTTGATAGCAATAACAGCGAAGAAAAACTTGAATACTGAATTGTGAAGAGACCCTAGGACAACTAGGATTTATATAGAGGTGATAAAGAGATTCGACAAAGCTTCATGCAAACCAAACATGCCTAGGTGATTACATCTGCCCCAGACGGTTATATAGATGTCGATCATGGAGAAAAATCGTCAACCTGCAGAACGTGGAATCATATGGAGGTGACAGAGGTTCGACAATACGCATGCAAACCAACACCTGCCCCAGACGGTTATATAGATGGCAATCATGCATAAAAGCAAAACGCTCAACCTTTGAACATGGATTCATATAGAAGTGATAAAGAGATTCGACAAAGCTACATGCAAATCAAAATGCCTAGGTGATTACACCTGCCCCAGGCGGTTATATAGATGTCGGTCATGGAGAAAACGCTCAACCTGTTCAACGTGGAAAGAACTTATGGTCGAAAAAGACAAATTGGGTAAGTAGATCAATTTATCATTTATGTTCCGTCCTCTTTTAATTTTTTTCATAATAAAATTACGAAAGCATCGCATAAGAAAATGTACATGTACAAAGCTTACATTAAAAGCAAGCAACTGAATGTAGTTTGGCCACCCAATTGGCCTTCATTGGCTTAAAATACATAAACTTATCTGAAGTCTTAACCTGATATAACAATAGAGAATGAATACCAATATGGTTTAAGCGCATTAGTCAACAAAAGTTTCCAAAACTTAAGAGAAGGTAGGCTAAATATGCCATGGACAATTTAAAGCATGATTGGAGACATGTACAATCAATAATGGTGCTATATGGATTAGCATCTCATCAATCTCCTGAAAATCAGAGTTCAGACATGGAAAACATCCAAAAGCTACAAGAAGCCTAATATCACAACACTACATAATGGTTTGAGAAAGTTATCAAATTAAATGAGGGTTGCTATCCAAACAAAAGAATAAGATTTCTAACTTGGTTCAACTCTAATATTTGAACTTCTAGTTATTCTTCATTTCTTTGAGAAAATGAATTTGAGTTTAATTTCTTTCATAGTGGAAAAGATCTGAATATAATGTTACTTATGCTAGATACTCAACAGAGCTAACAATATGAGTAAGACATTTATGATAAATGGCAGCACAGAAATTAGCATTTCGTGATCTCCTGTAAATCAGATATTCATGACAGACAGAAGTGCAATATGAAGTGAGGCTTAATTCCTTTCAGAGGACAATGAAGAAGGAAAATGCAACATCATCCTTTATGTTATAAGGATATCTCCAAATGGTTTTTACTCAAAAGTGCTATTGTTAAGACTTCTTTTATTTCATAAGGATATCTTTATTTCAATATTTTTTTTAATCATGCTGTAAGTTTCAGGCAAAATGCTAATCTTGGCAAGTGATGCTGATTGGTGCAATGCACATTTTGTTGGCTCTAGATTTTGAATTTCAAGTGCTACTCATTGTTCAACAATAACTACATCAAATCTTCAAAAGACAGAGATCTAGACCAACACGGCTACTTATTCAAATCTGCAGGGACAACAGAATCTGAAATCCCATAAAGGAAAAGGTGAGGATATTTTGATATTATTAAAGTTCATTGCAAACTACCTACAAATCATCCTCCTGCAGTTAGATACTATACAGTTCTACCACATTCAGTGAACAAATAATGATAACACAACCAGGACAAGGCATTAACTATCATGAATGGTAAAATGCTATAAATTTTAATCACTCAACTATATGGAAACCTACATATATCGTTAGAAGTCAATCCAGTTCAAATTAAGCAACTGATAACTGAAAACAGAAACAACATTGGTCAGAGTCTTGTTGGCACTTCCAATATAAAAACACAAAGGGCAAGGGATGCTTCACAGATGTGTAAGTTTCCTTTACTGAACTAAGGTAGTCATGCCTCATACTGATACATGTAAATATGATACTTGCAGGAGATGACATGAATGCTATGCAAAACTAATGTGGAACTAATGAATACATAAATGAGTCAGGGAGGGGTAAGCAACAACTTTATCGTGAACAAACAATATGAACAATTTGAATGGCTGAAGATGGCTTCTCCTCTCTTAGATGCATTGCTTGTATCTGCAGCACATGCATGAATTCCAGCCACAAGCACTATTGTTTTTACAGATTTTCAAATTTTCTTTCAAAGACAGTACAATTGGAAATAAGCACTATAGCTCATCAAATGTCTTAACAAAGACTAGATTTGTCATTGCTGACATGAGCAGCCTGTGTTCATACACTTATTTCAGTAATGCAACATTAACAAAGATGAGGTAAACTTAGAAAGCCAATGCTCTAGTTAACTGAATGTCACTATAGTTTTCCAAGCAGTGAAATTTTTTGGCATGCAGGCAGGATCAATAGAGGGTTATAGTCAAAGATTTGTCTAGAAAACTAATACAGATGATGGAATCTATAAGAATAAGCCTGCAATTACTATGTTCATGCCAAGGTGCAATATTTGCTTTCAGATTCTTCCAATCCAGGTAAACAATACAAGTTCAGAATTCCATTAAGCTTCACACAGAGGCTAGTAGGTTAGCACATAAAAGGCTAAACACGTCTCATAAATCAAGCTAACAAATCAATTTGAGCATGAGGCATAGGATGTAGAGAAGTGAGAGTGTTAGCCCAAAGGGGTGATACTAATGAGTTAGGATGTACAGAGTTCGATTCCTGCCAATGTGAAAAACTAAATAAAATAAATAAGAGAAACAACAATTTATATGATAGAGGAGTCTCTTTTTCCCAATTCAACCATCTAGGGATTAGAATATGATGAAATCGTAAATTGACATATTTGCACATATGTGATATTTGAGTAAAAGCAAGAGATAATTTTGTCAGCACCTGAAGATTGCAATTCCCAAATTAACCTCGGTGGTGGCAGTCGTAACGGAAAGCGGGAAGAACATGCCCCTATCCCGATTGGCATTTTGCCTGACTGACTGACTGAAACCGTCGTCCCCAGTAAATACAACTGCGCAACAACCACAACACACACACCCTCTTCAAAACGTGACATCATTTTGACCCTTCACTGAATTAATCGGTTCTAATTAATTTCCAACCTGTTCTCTTCTGTACCTTCCAAAGCAATCTCAATTGGCTCCATGTCACTTTTGTCCCCTAATATTGAATCGGATTGGATGACTCAACCCAATCTGATCATAGTGCCTTCATTTGCTGACTAAAGGTGCCAGGTTCGAACCCCCCATAATATCTGTGTATGAAAAACCTCCAACCCTCTAATGACTAGTTATTGTACTCCAAAAAAAAAGGCCTAAAAGAATTTTCCAAAGCAAATCTTTTATTTTTGATAGCTTTCTACATGGATTGGATTGAAATGAATGCCCAAAAAGTTTGAAGAAACAAATAAATGGGCTTCAAAACTATAGCCCAAGCACAAACGGGGCCTGGAAGCACCACTGGCATCAGCAGCCACAGAAATTATGTCGACAGGGAGGCTGAAGAAGATGTAACTATCTCAGCTCCCCACCAACTGACTACTACACGTGTCGAACAACACGGCTGCCACCTTACCCTGCCCAAACTCGTTATAACATGCAACCCCAGAAAGCGGTGAGACATTATCATAAACCAACGTTGACACAGAGGAAAAAGAGAAAACAGAGCAACCAAACATGGCAGTGATTTCCCTAGCCAATAATGTCTCAAGGCCTTTTCCTCAAGCCTCTTCCACAATATCTCACGGATATTCCTCTCGCAAAGTCGCCCGGGTCTGCTTCACCTCTGCCTTCAAATTCTCCGGGGTAATTAATTTACACTAACATTCTGTTTCTTCATCTCATGTAGGCATGTTTAATTTCAATGGAACTTATATTTTGAATTTCAGGGTCAAAGTGCGTCGGAAGAGAACAGGGGATATTATTCAAGGGTTGACAGCAGGGGATATGCCGACAAGAACTGGAGGAAAAAGGAACGAGACGTGAGTAGGAAGGCAAAAGAAACCGTGGAAGATGCCCTGGACAAAAGCAAGCAACAAGCAGAGGAAATCACAGACACAACCAAGGAGTATGCACAGGGCGTAGCGGAGACGGTGGCAGAGAATACAAAACAGGGAACAAACACAGCAGCCGAGACAGCAGAGAGCGCAAAGGAGAAAGCCAAAGAGTACGCGAACGAGACAAACCAGAAGACCAAAGATGTGGCGGGGACTGTAGGGGATAGGGTCAAAGAGGGGACTAACAAGGCCGCAGAGGCGACGGAGAGTGCGAAGAAGAATGTGAAAGAGGGCGCGTTGGGGGTGAAGGAGAGAACAGAGGATGCGGGGCAAACGGTGGTGGACAAGGTGAAGGAGGGGACTAGCAAGGCGGCGGAGACGGTGGAAACGGTGGTGGAGAATGTGAAGGAGGGGACAAGCAAGGCGGCGGAGGCGGTGAATGATACGATCAATCCTGATGGGAAGAAATATTGACGTTCTGCTCTGTGAATCGGGTTATTGATGGATTTATTATATAAAAACTGCAAATTGGGTCTTTTCCTTCAACCTCTGTAATGGCATACACTTATTTCAGTAATGCAACATTAACAAAGATCTCTTACTTATTTGTCAACTTAGATGGCCAACAATGCTCTAGTTAACTGAATATCACCATAGTTTTCCAAGAAGTGAAAGTTAATGGCATGCAGGACCAGTGAGGATTATTGTCAAAGATTTGTGTAGAAAACTAATACAGATGATGGAGTCGATAAGATTAAGCCTGCAATTTCTCTGTTCATGACAAGGTGCAATATTTGCATTCAGATTCTTCCAATCCGAGTAAACAATACAAGTTCAGAATTCCATTAAGCTTCACAGGCTTGTTGGTTTGCACATATAAGGCTAAACAGGTCTCCTAAATCAAACTGACAGATCAATTAGAGCATGAGGTATAGGATGTAAAGAAGTGAGAGTGTTAGCCCAAACGAGTGATAGAGGCCGGGTAATGAGTTAGATTACGATAGGATAACGATGGGATAGGGGGGTAATGAATTAGGATTACGATAATGTTTTAGATTACAATAAGAGATTACGATAGGCTGGATAATGAGTTAGGATTACGATTACAATAAGAGATTACGATAGGCTGGATAATGAGTTAGGATTACGATAGGTTGGATAATTAGTTAGGATTACGATAGGTACATGGTTATGGTTTCAATTCCTACCTATGCAAGAAACTAAATAAAATCAAGGGCTTGTCCAATATAGATCTCTACAATTTCTATTTCCTAGACATATACCCATCATTCTATAAATCCATGTGTAAAACCTAATTTCAAACTTAAATGACTAGTAGGATATAAGAGGTCATAATATTCCTATGTTTTTATATTGTTGCCATCAGACTTCATATTTTATTTATAATTTATTCCAAATGTTTCATTCACTGCCATAATTGTAATTAAAACTCCCTATTAATAGCATATCAATCACCCCATTTCTTTTGGTTGTCATTCCCTCTAACATATCGCCTCCTAAAATTGCAAACCAAAAAAAATGTAAATTATATATCCAATAATGTACATATGAAAAATATAAATATAAATATGTACGTATAAAAATATAGGTATATTATTTACCAACATTTTAAAAAAAAACTAGGTCAATTACTTTGTAATTGAAATTCCGTACATTTTTCATAAATTAAAAATAGGTACACAATAATTTATAATAAAAAATAGGTACATTGTATAATTGAAATTTATGCACATTTTTTCAATTGAAAACAGGTTCATTATACTAGGTAAATTATAGAAAATAGGTACATTGTATAATTGAAAATAGGTTCATTATACTAGGTAAATTGTTTTACTAGGTACATTATTAGAGAGAAAAAAAAAAGGTACATTATTTGGAGAGAAAAAATAGGTTCATTTTAAAAAAATTGTTTTCATAAAACAAACAATAAAAAGATGATCAAATTATTTTTCATAAAACAAGTAATAGGTGCTTTATTTAGAGAAAAAAATAGGTTCATTTTATTAAAAAAAATGTTTTTCAAAAAACAAACAAAAAATAGATTATCAAATTCTTTTTCAACATAATTAGAATGTACACTATTATTCATAAAACTATAATAAAAAGATTACTAGTCGTATAATTCATAAAAGAAAAACAACATAATTTTTTTATTCAATAAACCGAAACGTTAATCACCTATAGATTACTAATACATTAATGTTGAATTTAATAAATAAGTTTTTGAATTAATTCCTACATCCATTACAACCGTTTGGAGATCTTTCCAAATTCAACGTGTGTCATTAGTTACAACCTCCCCCCCTCCCCCCTTATAACACATTAACTTATAAATAGGGGTAGTTTTGGAATCCAAAAAATACAATAAATCAGATTTTAAGTTATATCAGGTAACTTGCTTAGTTGGATCCTAGTCATTAGGTATTATTTGAAAAAATTAGATATTTTAAATAGAAAAATAAAGGGAAGGGTTGTAGGTGATTTAAAATGAATTTTATGGGTCTAAGCTAAGTTTACTATAAAATGAAATTAGAGAAATAACCATTTATAAAGAATGATTTATCTTATATAAAAACCCCATGAAGAGTAAAGTGGAAAACACAAATCTTTAGTAGGGGTCTATTTTTCCCAATTCAATCATCTAGGGATTAGAATATGATGAAATTGTAAATTGACATATATTTGACGCAACCCAATATAATCATATCGTTAATCTACGAAGTTATCCAATTTAATCCAACACTAGATACTAAAAATGACCTAAAAGAATTTTTCAAAGCATATCTTTTATTTTTGATGGCTTTTTACATACTGTTCTCAATTTTTCATTGTTAGTCTGTCTTTATTTCATCAGTGGTGGTGTTGTCTATTAATTTTTTTTGAAGAAACAAATAAATGGGCTTCAAAAATAACTTGAGCTAGCGTTACAAATATAGCCCATAACACAAATGACCTTACCATTTCGGGCTGTCCAAGATTTGATGTGGCCCATATTAAGATTCTATCATCGGACTATTTAAGAAAGAGGATGTTACATGTGTAACTACCTCAGCTCCCCACTAATTGACTATCACACGTGTCGAACAGCACAGCTGCCACCTTTGTCTGGCCAAACTCGTTATAACATGCAACTCCGGAGAGCGGTGAGATATGATTAGCAACCAACGTTGACACAGAAGAAGAGAAAAGAGAAAGTAAAACAGAGCAACCAAACATGGCAGTGATTTCCCTAGCAAGAAATGTCGTCTTCAACCTCTCGAGGTCTTTTCCTCAAGCCTCTTCCTCAATCTCTCTCAGATATTCCTCTCGGAAAGTCTCCCGGGTCTGCTTCACCTCTGCCTCCAAATTCTCCGAGGTTATTAATTAATTAATTAACGCTAACACTCTGTTCCTTCATCTCATGTGTATATGTTAGCAATAGTCAATTAATGAGGATTAGTTTGGCACCTACAATGGTTGGTAGCCTACAATGTTTAGTCAATTAATGTGTTAATTATGTAGTAAATTAATGTGTTAATTATGTAGTCAATTAATGTTTGGCACCTACAATATTTGGGGGGCTTGACTAGTTTGGTTGCCTAATTAGTTTGGTTGCCTAACTTGGTTGGTTGCCTAACTTGGGGTCTTGACTAATGTCTTAGGAACTTGTATATATATGTGTTGAGGAGATTCAAGGGTTGACAGCAGCGGCTTTGCCGACAAGAACTGGAAGAACAAGGAACGAGAGTACGGGTCTGTTGACGTGAGTAGGAAGGCAAAAGAACCCATGGAAGAAGGCCTGGAAAAAAGCAAACAAAAAGCAGAGGAAGTGAAAGACACAACCAAGGAGTATGCACAGGAAGCGAAAGAGAAGACAAAGGGCGCAGCGGAGATGGTGGCAGAGAAGGCAAAACAGGGAACAAACAGAGCAGCCGAGACAGCAGAGAGCGCCAAGGAGAAAGCCAAAGACTACTCGTACGAGACAAAAAAGAAGACCAAAGATATGGCGGAGACTGTAGCGGATAAGGCAAAAGAGGGGACTTACAAGGCCGCAGAGACGGCGGAGACGGCAAAGAAGAAGGCGAAAGAGGGCGCATGGGGGGTGAAGGAGAAAACAGAGGATGTAGCCGAAACGGGGGCGGAGAAGGTGAAGGAGGGGACGAGCAAGGCGGCAGAGACGGCGAAGGATACAGTGAAGGGGGCGTGGGGTGCGGTGAGGGAGACAGGGCAGAAGATTAAGGAGACGGTGGTTGGGGAGCCTGATGAGGAGGTGGGGGTTGGGGTTTTGGATGAGGACACTAGAGACAGTGAAGATGAAATTCATGTTGATGTTGATGGTGATGGTGTGGCGGAAGGGAAGGTGGTGGGTGCGGATGTTGTGGAACGCAGGCGGCGTGCTGCCAATCCTGATGGGAAGAAGAAATATTGATGTTCTGATCTGTGAATCTGGTTATTAATGGTGGATTTAGGTTCTCTGCTTTTGCAGAATGTGCATTCTAATAAATCTAAACCGTTCAAATAATCCAGTTTTGACTTCTCCATATCATCAGCATAGTTCATCTTTTTGTAAAATCAGCAAGAACTGATAATAACCCATTGAATCAGTTTCTTGTTCACAGTGAGATGTGTTAGCCTTTACATTTACCATCATCCTAAATAGAAAGACTTATCTGTTGAATTGAAAGCAAACTCATCATAAACTCATTTGCTTAGTGTCCACTAAACATAATTAGTCACTAGAATATTTTAATTAGTCTCTAATCAGCTAGTTAGGTGAATTAAATGACTTCCAGCAGCAACGAACCATAATAAGCCCATGTGCCATTATAAAAACCTGTCGTTTTGTTCTGTACATTAATCCAGACGACATGTTAAAATGGGCCAAATAGTGTCGCTGGATTTCTGTAACTAAGTGATGTGTTTTAATCTTCACCGTTGGTTGGAACTTGAAACCAACGGTCAAGATGCGCAACAGAACCCCACCTGTTTATAAACCCCCTCTGGCTCTGACTTCAGGCGCCAAACCAGAACCATTTAACGAACTAAACAGTCGATTTTTCCCATTACACCGTAGAGTTGTAAGTTCTTTCTCCACCGCCTTCAGAGAATCCAAAATCAAGTATCGATTTCTTTTCGAGGGTTGATAGTTTTCTTGGTAAGAATTATCATGGAAAACGACAACAATTCTGATATGACAGAAGGAAGTGGAGTCACGAATCAAGATTCTCTCAGTCTTTCGCTTGAAGCTCTTCAAGCGACATCAGACTTGAACAAATCAACCATGGAAGATGAGGGAAGCACATCGGTTTTGAGTGTTCTGAAATTGGTAAATTCAATGTCCTTCAATCCTCATCTTGATTCTGATATTTCTGATTATGAAGGAGTTAAAAAAGATTTGGATTTTGAGTTTATAATCAGAAAAGATGAAAAGCAGATGGTGGGTTTGGATCATCATAATGTGAAATCAGTGTTCTTTAATGACAAAATGGTGGGTTCGGATGAGATTTTGGGTTCATTGTCAGTGTGTGGAAAAGAAAAGAACCTCAAGAATCTTGTTCTTGAATTTGCTGAGAAAGAAAACAATGGTTTTGGTTCAGGGTCGAGATCATGTTGTAGTAAAGGGGTTGAAGCTTTTGAGTTTATAATCAAAAGAAAAGATGTCATGAGAGCACATCATCTTGAACTGGAGGCTATTGGCCTGAAGAAAGAGGTTGCAACCCGTGGCATTCCATTCTGGTATGTTATACTTAAAGAGCATTTGTAAATTGTAACATATGTAGCTTGCTAATGGCTCTTTTACAGTCATTATACGTACATTGTAATGATGGATGAGTTAATTTGTTTGCAGTCATTATTATTTTCCATTGGTTTCGTGGATAACCTGCTACTTATAGTTAATTATTAATTTAATTTTTGGTAATAGTTATTAATTTAATTTAATGTAGGCATGTGAATCATTTAATTAAGAGGAGTTGGAGCATGAAGATATGGAGGGCATCATTGAATGGCATGATTGAAGAAGATGAAGATATGGATGTAGACCCTGAGGCTACTGCCAGTGAGAGTGACGATGACATGGATTTTACTGACAGTGGAAATGAAGGAGAAGGTGATCCTGGGGATGAAGGAGGAGTTGACGGTCAGAGCAAAAAGGTAGCAGTTATTAGGCTATATCAGGAAGAAGAATACATCTGTGGGGAACTAAAGATCAATGACTACCATAACGCACATCAGTTGGAAGAGTCAGTTTACAATCTTGTTCTGGAAACAAGGGCAATATTTCGCGAGCGATACCACACGCCATTGACCACTGAGTATATCCTGAGGTATCGAAGAGAGAATAGTCCACAAAATTGGACAGACCTTGCTATATTCGAAATGGATTGGGAGGAAGTTGCTGCGTGCCTATTTGTTGTTAATGCCATAGATAACACTGAAGATCATTTAGACCATTACTATGTACCAGTGTTTAGGAGGTCAGTTGACGGAGCATCCCAAAAAATTGGGCATTTGTACCCTTGCGACTATAGGGATGCAGAGGAGTTGGAGCGTGCCAGTAAACATGTCCTCATCAAACATGGTGTTTTAGACATAATGGAGTACAGTTTCCAGTATTATGGAGAAGGGAATGAAGAACTCCACATGTTTGAATTGGATTGGCAGCAGGTTCTTGAACTTGACCTCCTATTACGTGTGTACGCCATACATAACGTTCCAAAGGAAGGAGATGGAGATGATGGTGTGTAGTGCTTATGGTAAGCTAGTGCCATCTCTAATCATCCTGTGGTGTGAAGGACTTTTGTTTCATTGAAATGCCTCATGTGGAGGAATTAAAATACATGTAAAGTGATGTACTGGTGCTTAATGTGCTCACTATTGGTGCAAAGATGATGTGTTTTTCCAATATGCAGTTCATTCCACATTATCTCTAAACGAGTCAAACTTACTTAACGAGCTTCTTGTTAGTGTTTAATCTTTGAACATCATACTTTACTATAATTTCATAATCTTCCATTACAAGCATCGACATCGGGATGCACACAATGTGTAATTAACAAGTAATCCCAAAGTTCATTTTAGACACATTTTCTTTATATATATAGATAATAATGAAAGCCTTTTGTACAATTTCCATACACGTTTTGCAAAGAAAATAATGTGATCTCCATTTAACCATGGGGCAGAACGGGTACATAATCTGATTTCGTGTTTGGGTCAGGGTCAGTGTAATATTCAACCCTCAATTCAAGGAGAGATCATTCAAAGTTGCCATTCTATTAGAGAATGAGTCGTTGTCCTTCATGGCTTATTTGCAACATAAGCAAAAGCTTTGTGGTTCATTATATGATATAACCCCTGCTTTCTGCTTTGAGGCTTTGAGGCTTTGAGGCTTTGAGGCTTTGAGCTGACGCATTCACATGCACATTGCAATGCAAGTGTGGTCTGCAACACCAACAACAGGGTAAGCAATTTACAGCTTAAATTTGCATGTCAATTCATACTTGCTTACCAAAAAAATAATAAACCAGGACTTATTATATCTACTATTATGTAACTAGAAGTAACTTGGAGGGAGCACAATTTATCTGAGTCCAATCGAAAGATTTCTGTTGCTTCACTTAGCTTTTGGTAATGCTACATATATTGCTTGTAAGTTTAGGAAAATTCCCCTGCAAAGGCCAGCCAGTTTGTTAATGAATTGGGATAAGATATCAGGAACCAAAAAACATGTATATTATAGACGAAAAAGGGGAGTAAGCTTATAGCTTGTACCATCCAAAAGCAACCAAGCTGTGGAAGACGACACAGAGATGGAGTGGCACATACTAGTGATTTATCCAACCCAGAACAGGCCAGAACATCATTTTCATTCATCAAGGTTTAAAATGTGTTATGTTTCCTGATAATGTGATAATGTCTTAGTACAAAAAAATCACAACGGAGACAGAATTATACCGTCCACGATGTGTATTTCACTGACGGGTAGTCCTTAATTTTATTCTTCACATGCAACCAGGGTCTTCCTGCGTTTCACACAATAAGCAGCAAAGTCCACATGCTAACATGCCTCTTTCAGGCTGACTTTGAAACTTTCAGAGTTGTTTGACTAATAATATTATAATCTGATATACAAATCATGCAACGCTTAGATCTTAATCAAATTTAAGGGCTGATAGGAACTGCTGTATTTCTCGCATGCCAACATGTCAAACATAAACAATTGATGATCACAAGTTTTGACATATTATATACTTACCTTCCACAACCAAGACATAGTAATTTGATTAGGAATTTTAGAACGACCAATGAATTCTTCTTTATGAGCACAACCTTTTTGGTTTAAGAAGAGGAAGAGATCAGAAGTTATGGCACTTAAATAACGATGGCTATAATTAATATGAAGTGTATAGGATGGATTTCTCAACAAAAACCAGAGCGTGAAGGCAAGTAGAGTAGCCTTACCTTCCTGGCTACTGTTTTTGAATCCTTCTTCCCTTTGAAAATCTTATCAAGTAGTAAATGCAGGAAATGCCCAAATGGTCCAAGATAAACAGCTCCAAAAAGCTGCACGCAGAAATGCAAGGTTATAATGGAAAACACATGTAATATTACTTATACACATCAAAATTGACATATTAGCAATAGACAATTGTGTTTATAGCAAAAATTATAAAGTCTTCTTTCTTTCAGCACATTAATACTTTTAGGGCCAAGCTAATAGAGTCCTGAAGATCCACCCAAACTTCTTACAGAATCTTCTCACAAAAACAAAACCGTACAAATCACCCAATAATGATTGTAATTATGATGCATAATGAGTTTTAGTCATCATCCCTGACAACAATGCTGTTTATTTTGCATTTTATCATGTTACTGGAATATTTTATGTTTGCTACACTAGTTTGTAAAAGGGGTTCGTGATATTATCTTCTTTAAGTGCATGCCTTAATACAAAAACCTAGGTCAGGGGTGTGATATGCAGGGTGAGGTTATAGGCATCCACCTAATTGAAATGCACTGCAGTGTAATCATGTGCATATGTGTTATGTTGGTCTTTCAGACCAAATCTAGCTGATAACGTATTCTAATTAAGGTCGAACAATGGTTATGAGTTTAGGCAAATGAAATGTGTGAGTGTGTGACAAGATCTAACAGAAAGAGCATCAGTAAGCTACAGTTGGGAATTGGGATTTTTCCATTCATTTAGCTTAACTGCTTAGTACCCAATTATACAGAATAGAAGAAAGGAAAACACAGTTGCGAGCGCACACATACACAAATCAAATATACAAAATCTTCTGTGTAATTGGAAAACCAAGAAACCAAAATAAAATGGGGACCTTACCACTTTGAGAAGCAGACGTCTTAACTGACGTTTCTGAATCCCGGTGAGCTTCCGAGACACTATGTCACTGATCGCTGACAAAACCCCACTGTAATTGCCAGTTGGAAAAAGAAAAGAAGGTATCACCAAAAATTCCCAATTAACAACATTTGATGGCTAGGACCTCAGAGTAACTAAATTATCACAAGCACATGTCATAATTGAGTTTAAAAGATAATATCTTTGAAAACCCAGATGAGAAACAACCTAAACTTTCAGAAATTCTATTCTTTTTTAGCTTCCTCTTTCTGGAACTAAGCAGGGGTTTAAACGGAAAACAGAGAAAATCAAGGTAAACCCTTTACAAAACAACCCAAGTGAGATTAACAGAGACATGGGATTTGACCTTAGTTCTGAGACGATGATGCTGATGCTGAAGCAAGTACTGCTGCAACCCCCTCTTTGCAATCGAACCCATGCTTTCCTTGTTACAACAAAGTCTTCCAATGGCAATTCTTGAGAGGAACTTAACTGTTTGCGCTTTTCAGTTTATAGTTTGGAGTGAAATATCTGAGGCATTTAACTGTTAAACTTAAGACTGCGAGTCAGAGACGTTTGTATTGTAATTTCTAATTTGAATGGTCTTGCATTGAAACCTTCCCCAAGCTTAATGTGGACTGATGTTTTATTTTGAATTTCATATGCAAAGTAGAGAGACTGGTCGTGTCATGTGAGTATCATATGGTATATGGTTTAGGGTTTACATGTCAAGAATGCTCAAATTACCTCATTGAAGTGGGATTTTCTGAGTCAAAGGGAGCCTTGGAATGTATTTAAAAACAAAACCACATCATGGCAAGAAGACAAGGAGGAGACAAATGCTAAAGGCTTTCGCAAAAGGTGGAGTTTAACATTGAAGTGTGAGTTGGAAAGGAGGAGAGAAGGATGGGCAAAAGGAAATGAATGTGCATCAGACATTCACTGAAGATTAGATTCTTTTAGGCATTCACTGAAGATTAGATTCTTTTTACAGAGAATAGAGCAAAGAATTGGAGATTGGAGCTAGAGAGGGAAGACAATGTGCAGCCAACCAAGAAGTGGAAGAAGATTTCCACCATTGAAGACCTTGAGCTTCCATCACTTTCACAAAATATGTAAACTCTTTCTAGTTATATTTTGAATTTGTGTTTGAAATAAGTATGATGAACTAATCTTCATAGCTAGGGCTTAGGTTGAAGCCCTAAACATGAAGACTCTATTGTTTTGATGCTTGAGTGTATGAAGTTCTAGATATTGTTGATGAATTCCCATTCATTAAAATAATCTATCCTTGATGTATGTTTTCTCTTTGATTGATCACCTTCGAAAGCATGCTTCTTGAGGTTGTTGGGATTATATGTACCCTCAGGTCTTCCTAAGTAACAAATTGATGAAGTAAGGATCATCCATATGAATTGGTTTCTTGAATGCCTAATGTAAACATCATACTATTAGGGTTCTTGTGATGTTCATATTCTCTTTGAACTTAATGGGTTTTTCTTGTAATTAAATCAAAGTACTAAGCACACCTAGATTGATTATAGGGAAGGCACGAGTATTGTAGCACTAGCCCCGCACTACTTATATTAGAAAGAATCAATGCGACTTGAGCCACTAGACCCGGTCTTGATTGCGAACATCTTCATCAACACATTTAGAGTTCATTACTTGAGTGTCCATGAACATGGGTAAGATTGTTTAGGGTGGATTCTAAAAATTAATTTGGATTCTGAAAACCCTAGTGTTTGTTACATATTAATTTCACACTTTGATTTTCATCCCTGTCAATCTTGTTAAAATGAGAGTTCAATTACATTCAAGCATTAGAATTAGGTCACGCAAACAACCCCCCCAACTCGTGTGTGTGTGTGTGTGTTTGAAACATTGTGTGTTTTCTTCATTGAATTATGTTCACTTTCGTATTTGTTTTTGACATTTGATCCGAGTTCTTCATTTTTCTGTGCTGAATTCAACCATATAAAAAACGTGAAATTTGGACAAACGATTGGAAAGTTATAGGTAAACCTGGCAATATTGTACACAACCTGTTAATACAACACGAATTCGCACGAAAAATTCAGTATTCGGGTCTGAGTTATCGTGTCATGTTGATATCGTGTTGACCCGTTAGCCACCCATAAAGCTATTGTGTCGTGTCGTGTCAATTCGCGAATACCCGTTAACCCGTTAAGCTCAGGGACATTTTTGTAAATTTATCTCTTTCTTTTTTTTTCTTCTTCTCTTTTGTCTCTTCCTCCCCTATTTCCCCGATTCTCTCAGTACTCCATCTCTCTCTCTCTCTCTCTCTCCAAAACGCAGCAACCTTTGAGCTTTCTTCTTCTCTCAACTTGAGAGTCTTAGCAGCCACTACACCACCCAACCACCATGAGCCATCCCAGCCACCTCCCCCTTGTCTCCCTCCCTCACCGATCAATCCCACCTATTCCCTCACTTTCTCCGATGACTCTTCATCCTCCACTCCCACCATCTTCGTTGCCCAAACCTTTGAGGGCCACTCACAGGGCATCTCCAATCTCACATTCGAGCTCGTCTATGGACTGTGTTGATTTTTATTTTTTGTGCACTAGTTGATTTTTTAATTATTTAAAATTTCTGTTTTTGTTATTATTATTATTATTATTATTATTATTTTAATTGTTAACGGATTATCGTGTCGTGTGATTCGCGAATTGTAACGGGTCGTGTTCGTGTTCAACCCGTTTTCTAATCGTGTCATGTCGTGTCAACCCGTTAATAAAAGCGGGTTGACACGAAAACAACACGAATGCCAGGTTTAGTTATAGGTCAAAACTAGACAGAGGTCAAAGCTGAAAAAACAGAGAAACCGACTCTGCCCAAAAGCGACTGGTCGCCTCTGTTCATGCAACCGGTCGCTTTTCATTTTTAGTTCAAATTACAATCTGTCCAAAGACGACCGGTCGCGCACTGTACACGGTATTGTTCACACGTGATAAACAGGTGATATAGTGGTGATAAAAGGGCGATAGAACATGCTGTTTGTGTTTATCTTTGGTTTCTTGTTTTGTTTCATTTCATTTACCTTTCTTTACTCATTTTTAGCTTCCAATTTGTATCTTGCATTTGTGTTGTGTTAAATAAGTGTTCTTTACGTACTCAAATTAGAACTTTTAATAAGCCGACAGTTCCTCGTGGGATCAACCACGTACTTGCAAATCTATACCCCAATAGATTCGTGCACTTGCGAGTATTTTTAATTGGATGATTAGCACATTAATTTGTGTCAATTATTAATACAACAGGAACCTGATAGATGAACAAATGAGAAAAGAGGGGGGAGAGGAGGTCAAGGGAAAGGAAGGGGGGAATAGAGGAGAAGACTCATCCTCTTAGATGGCCAGCAGTGCTGATAACCCTAGAGAGAAAAGAGAGAGGCGCATGGAGAGAAAAGGGTATCGTACGCGTGAGTCGTGACCATGTAAAACTCAATATTCAATTATCATATACCATCCTTAAGGACGGTATGTAGGAAGCAAACATACCCTCATTTACTAATTAGTGTCCATTAAACATAAAAGATAACTAGAAAGTCACTAAAATATTTCAACTCCATGCATTTCTTTCAATAGTCCCATGATCCATCCAGCAGATTACCATGCATTATGAGGTCACCTATGAAGATAACTTGAGCTCTCCAAACAATCTACTCAAATGATCATTCCCACTGTAGATCACGTGAAGATATCCATCGTTATCCTTATTTTCCTCATCGATTGCAGACATCAAGACACCTGTAAGTGAACATTGGAAGAATTATGGGAGTACACACGCACATGTATATATGTATGTATACTATGCGGAAACAAAAAAATTGATTTGCAGCTCACCAGTGGGAGGTTGAGTAGTGTTCTTGAAAAAGACAAACATAGGCTTTTTGATATTACCCCGTAAAAACTGAACAAATTTTCTAAGAGGCATATCAGAAGGGACAAGGCATCTGCATCCAGAAAAAAAGGGCAATCACTATAGTAGTTTTTGGTACAACTGCTAACTCCAAATGAACAATACATATGACACTTAAAAATACAAAACTTAAATAATAAAAACATCATAACTATTTGGATTTTCCCTGACAGATTTTGAACATATATATCGAAAAGCATAAAAGAAAAGGGAACAATCACAGCAATACAAATAAAGATAATAAAAAACGAGGGAGTCGGCAACTGACTTCTTCATGTTAATGTCCGGAATGTCACTCCCTGCATCCTTCTCTACACTCACCTGCATTGCATGCATGGAGGCTCAAATTAGAATTTAGAACAAAGCATATGAACGCAAAGGAGGAAGTAAACATATTGGTGAAATTCGTACAGGTATACAAAGTGGATACTTCTCCCTCAAATCGGCACCTTCTAAACTTCTTTTTTCTCTCCTCCTCCAGCTTCTCTTATTCCCATTGTCTAAGTAAGCAATGGGCCATTTGCATTCATACTTTCGTTTTCTGCTTTTTTTTGCTAACGGAATATTTCTGAACATATATCAAACGCATAAATTAAAATGAACAATTAATTGTACAAAGCAAGATAATCAAAGCACAAAGGGAACTAGCAACAAACTTCTTCTCGTCACTGACAGTGCCATCAAACTCACTCCCTGCAGCATTCTCCACTTTGACCTGCTTAAAGCTCCACTGATCAATGCCTGCCTAGGAAGGAAGTAATAAACATATATATATATGATTCAGAGAAATTCTTACCGGCTTCTTCTCTTCAGCTTGCCTACTTTCTAAAGTATTATAGTCCATAACCATCAGTCACAAGAAAGAAAACATAAAAGTTAGACAAAAACTAATCATCCATTTAAAAGATAAACCGTATTCAGTATCAACCCTGCATCCATGATTCCATGAAAATTTTAAATTACCCTAAACTACAGAGACCATCTTATCACAAAGAAGAAGAAAAACTACACACACTGTAAAATAAAAATAAATAAATAAATATATAAAAAAAGAGAAACAAACCCTGAGAACAATCATTCCTGGAAGAGCATTCTTCTGCCATGGCGAAATTACAACTGACTGTTCTCTGTGATAGGATAGGACCCAGCTCTATCTCAACCTTAACTCTATCCTTGAACAGAAAACCAATCTTGATATTATTCTAACAAATCCAAAATACAAGCCGTCTTGCTTTGCACAACTAATTAATCAGTATTTATACTGACTTGCAAATTAGACTTAGTTAAGGACTTTAAACCAACTCACCTAATAATTCTCCACTAATATCTGCCAACGGAGCCCATTGAAAAGGGCCTTGAAAAAAACCAATACGTCTGGCGCAATGAAAACACAACATCTAATAGTACTAAAGGGACTCTATCACTCTGGAAGTTGTGATATTTTTTTTAATTGGGCTAATAATGTTGAAAAATTACAAAAAGGAAAGAGAATTGGAAATAGGCCCAAACCAGCCAAATCAAATCGTCTTAAATTGATTTTATTTGGTTCGATTTCTTCAGTGATTTTTGTCAAAACCAAACCTATCCAAACTGTTATAAAGCAATGCACCATCAACTCACTCTATAACTATAGCATGCATGCCTGCCTGTAAGCAGCAAGCAATTTACCTCTTACTTCAGTCTCACTCTCTCTGACCTCGATCGTACGAGAAAGAATGAAGATTCAATCTTGACCATTACATTACATTACATGGTCATCTTCAAAATCTTCTTTCGTAGTTTATCTAAACCGTTCAAATAATCCAGTTTTGACTTCTCCATATCATCAGCATAGTTTATCTTTTTGTAAATCATAAAGAACTGATAATACGCCATTGAATCAGTTTCTTGTTCACAGTGACATGTGTTAGCCTTTATATGCATTTACAATATAAAAACAGCAAATTGGGTCTTTTCCTTCAACCTCTGCTACCACCTTTGAAGCACTCAAGAGATATTCTTAGACCAGCTGGCTGGTAAAGAGACATTGTAATTGATTAAAGATGGGATTTGAAGTGCCAATGGTGTTTCTCCATAGACATGGAATTTGTTTGTGTTTCTTTTAAATTTAAAGGTTGCAACTCTGGTGAATATAATTGAGGTTAGAAGGATTCCTTGTCCCATAAGTGGGTGCTTGCTTTTTAAGCCTTGTCCAATCAGGTATCGTTGAGTTTTGGATATATCCCATGCACGTTCACCACTGGCTTCAAGAAAAATTACTGGGTTTTAGAAGTGCAGAGTATTTCTTCAACTGTAGAGTATATGTATGTATGTACTTCTGAATTCTGATGTTATAAAAGAAAAGAAGAAGAAAAAAATGGATGAGTGTGAGAGGGTCGATGGATCTGTTGAGAAATAAATATTGAAAGAAAAGGGCTTTATCAATGGGATGAAAAATAATCTGCAGACTTGAGAAAAAATTTCCAGCTTCGTCCGGGAGGGCAACTAAGAAAGAACACGTGTAACTATGGAAACACCCACCAATTGACTAGTACGCGTGTCGAGCAACAAGGCTGCCACCTTGCTCTCCCCACCTACAACAGACAACCCAAGAAAGCGGTGATATGATCAGAAACCAAAGTAGCAGAGCAAACAGAGCAATCAACAACAACATGGCAGTCGACTTCATGGCTAAGAATCTCATCTTCAACCTTTCAAAATCTTTTCCACAAAGCCCTTCAGCACTGTCTCTCAGATATTCCTCTCGCAAAGTCTCAAGGGTCTGCTTCAATACCTCTGCCTCCAAATACTCCGAGGTAATAAATAAACTACGCCATTAACACTAGGTTTCTTCTTGCATAATTTGATCCCTTCAGGGTTTAGTGGGCTTTGTGTTGACTACGTTGTTGAATTTCAGGGTCGAAATGCGCCGGAAGATCATAGGGATTCAAGGGCAGACTGGGCCTACGATGACAAGAAGTGGAGAAACGAGGTGTCCGTCGACGCAAATAACAGAGGAAAAGATCCAGCAGAGGAAATGATAGACAGGGCCAAGGACTATACCCATGAAACGAAGGAGAAGACAAAGAGCGCAGCGGAGAAGGCGTAAGAGGGAGCAAACAGAGCAGCCGAGACAGCAGAGAGCGCCAAGGAGAAAGCAAAACAGTACACCTACGAGACAAAGGAGAAGACGAAAGATGTGGCGGGGTCTGTAGCTGAGAAGGCCAAAGAGGGGGCGTATAAGGTGGCGGAAACGGTGGCGAGCGCAAAGGAGAAGGCAAAAGAGAAGGCGAAGGGGATGAAGGAGAAAACAGAGGATGTGGCCGAAACGGTGGCGGATAAGGTGAAGGAGGGGACAAGCAAGGTGGTGGAGACGGCGAAGGACACGGTGAAGGGGGCGTGGGGAGCGGCGAAGGAGACGGGGAAGAAGATTAAGGAGACTGCGGTGGGGACTTCATCTGATTCTGATGATGAGGTGGAGGTGGTGCATGAGAAGGTTGTGGATGATGATGTGGAGGTTGTGGAAGTTTTGGATGAGAAGAGGAATGTTGTGGATGTTAGGAGGCGGATTCACAAGCCTGAAGATGATGATGTGAAATATTGATGTGTGTTGTGAGTCTGCTCAAACATGATAGAAGAAGTTCATGTGTTTGATAGGTTCATTTTGATGTGGTAATGGGGATGTTTAGGCAGCTTGCTGCTTTCTGTTTGTAGTCTTTATTGGGGTCTCCCCGCCATATCAATGAAGGCAACCTTTTGATCCAAAAAAAAAAGTGGGGATGTTTTCTTTTTTGGAATGTTGCAACTCTCCTTGAGTTGATATAATCATTTTTTCCATTATAGTCATGTAGTATAACTTGTAATACGCATATGAATAATATGGATATTGTCATGATTGTAATACGCATATGAATAATATGGATATTGTCATGATTGTAACATGAATGTTTATAATAAACGATATGAATATAATTATAATATGAATGATTGTAATATGAATATAGTTATAATATGAATGATTGTAATATGGTTATAATATGAATGAACGATATAGATGGCGTCTGATTTTTAAGGTACAATATCGAAGACAAGGATCTTATCACAGGTTAAGAATTCGATTTGGATTATGTTGTAGGATTGCCGAATAAACGACATGATAGAGATATTCGATTTGAACTAGGACTGCCGAATAAACGACATGGTTGATATCTCGGAGTTTGAAAGGAAATGAGACTAGGATCCTACTACATAGTTAAAAATGGATCCGAACCTTGCCCTACCCAAGAACTGACCCGAACCATGGTGTAGGATCGCTCACCGAAATGCTATAGTTATGAGGGATTGTGAGACAGAGGGTTTCAATCTCACTATTCAACAAGAGAGAGAATATTGAACTTCAACTTTAATGATGGAAACTCAAATCAATGAACTTGGGCCAAATTGATTCAATATCAATATTGTTGTGCATAATTGAGGGCCAAGGAGGGACCTGGTAGAATTTAGATTTAGACAGGCAGGCCCAAAAGAAGATTATATATTTATATATATATATATAAAACCCCCAAACCTTAAAAGAGTGGGCCCACTTTGACACCCATAAAGTGGAAGTGGAAGTGCAAGTGCAAGTGCAGGGAGCAGTTGTAACCCCCAACGGACGCCACGCCAGCATCATCACCATCTGCAACTGGTCCATCTCTGTTTCTGCTAACTCCGCTACTTCGGTTAAGTTGGTTTGGGGCACGTGCCACTCGTCTCCTTCACTCACTCTCATCCTAATCCAATTTACACTCTCACACTTCAATCTTTAATCTCAGCAAATGGGAATCTCAGCAGTCAGCATCCACTTTCATATATAGCTTCATTTGAATTGCCGGAATTGCCCCTCCTTAAACACGAACAAATACTCCAATTGATAGATAATCTCTCACACATTAATAGGTAATTCATTTCCAAATAATATACCTATTTTACAACTCAACTCATGTCTCATTACTAAACTTTAACACGCACATTGCTTATACACGCATTCTTTAGTCAATGGCAAAACACATTATTTGATTACCAACAAAAATGCTTATTGATAAAAGAGAAATTTAAATATCACTGAGCATTTTTTTAGCAACGACAAAAGAGAAATTCAAATGTTAACGAGCACACATTATTTGATAAACGACAAAAAAAGAGATTTAAATGTTAATGTATAAAGGGATATTCGAATTTCAAATTCTCAAATATAAATTATCAAACAAGTTATAATTAGACATATTATGATTGCCTGTGGTTTTTTCTTTAGTTGTTACTTGTACATGGGTTATTTTACTGTCATCGTAGTCACCTTCTTCAAATATTGTATGGGGAGTCCTTTTATAATTTATTCCCCGGATCGAATGTCAACATAAGTTTGACACTCGCTGGACAAAATTGGTTTGCCGAAGAATGATAAGGAACTTTGACTAATCCAATCCAACATGTGAGTAAGTAGACAGAAAACACGAGTTATAGATAAGTCGCATGGAAATGCTTGGAAGAACGGGGACACAATTGTCTTTCTGAGTAAATGATGTCACAGAGAAGAGAACGAAACCCACCAAACAGAAAATCAAAAAAGGAAAAAAAAAAATTGTGAATAGAAGACTCAAGAGCGAGTTATGAGTATGATTGTAGTAGGCAGACAGAGATGAAAGTGGAATGAAAGAGAGAAAAAAATAAAGAGTAGTTGCTGCTGCCGAGGCCTGACAGGCACACACACAGCCAAAAAAAAAACACAGGGACGACCGCCAAGCCACCCTCCTGAGCCTGCTCTGACCCGCCGCCTCTGCTCTCTCTTATTCACCTGTCCAGTTTTGAGTGTGGTCCATCCCCTACCCTCCCCTCCCAATATATCTAAATTCAATAGCTAAAGGTCTCATCTTTCTTCAGTTCTCAGAGGCTCTTCTCTATTTAATTTTGCTGGGTTTAGTTTTGCTTCTTGGGGGGCTCTGAATTGCAGCATATCTGAATGAAAAGGTAAAGGTTGAAGCTTGGTGTTCTGGGTTGTTGATATTATGATCAACCAAAAGCAATGGATTGGGAGGTTTTTTATATGTAGGTTTTTTGAGCTGGGTTTTTGAGTTAATGAATTAACACCAAGTCTGGTGGTATCTCTCTAGCTCCCACAGATTATTAAGACCTCTCCTATCTGGGTTTTGTGCTCATCCGACACCCCGTTTTCGGTCCTTTGTTCAAATTACAGTAAAACAAAGAACAAACAAGAAAGCAGGTCAACAATCTAATCTCTTCACACCTTCTGACACCTTGTGTATAGAAGGAGCAAAAAAATCTTGTCGACTATCGTTCAATTCTGGGAGATATTGGGCCATCGGATTTTCATAATTTCTTTCCCATTTGGTTTCATGCTTATTACATTCATTGTGATTGATGAAATGAGTGAATGGCCTCTGGTTTTTTGTGGTGGGTAGGTAGGTTAGTGGGAACGAGAAAGAGGCATGCCTATGCACAAGGATAACGATCGCCCTTTGTTTTGCAGTGAGAGTCTTTAGATTCTCAAGGCTCAGCGAGACACGTTGAGCCTCTTATCTCACAACAACGCTCTAATTTAGCCTTCCCCTTATAACCTGCGTGTTCCATAAAGCCACACATCTCATCAAGCAAGAGCACAGCAGCAAAAGAAAGAAAAGTTTATAGGGAGATCATCATCAAACACCAGCTGGGGCTTGTTCAGAAGATGGATCAGCAAAATCCAGATCAGAGATTGAAGCCAGCTTTACAGACTGAGAACCAGCAGCAGCAGCAGCAAAACCAGCAGCCTCAGAAGTGTCCTCGCTGTGAATCTCTGAACACCAAGTTTTGCTATTACAACAATTACAGCCTCTCTCAGCCGCGCTACTTCTGCAAGACTTGTAGAAGGTATTGGACCCAAGGCGGGACCCTCAGGAACGTGCCTGTCGGCGGAGGCTGCCGGAAGGGGAAGCGTCCCAAGACTAATTCATCATCATCATCATCTCCCTCTCTGCAGCCACAAGCGCAGGCACAGGCACCACAACAAGACCAGCAAACAGTGAAAAACTTGTCCACGACAAGCCCAAGTTCTAATCTTGGGGCTATAGAGAGCACTGGTAATTTGGCTTCTCACCATCAGTACTATCCTGGTGGTACTGGTTATTTGTCATCTTATGCAGCAATTCAATCTCTGAATCAGTCACAGCCCTTCAACGTTGGGGGCCATGATCAACTGGGAGGAGGTGCATCCTCAAATATGAGCCTGCTGCAGGGGTTCAATGTTTCAGCTCCTTTTGGCCAATTTTATCAAGCTGGCAACACTAAGAGCATCATGGTGGATCAAACGGCTCTGTATCCATCTAATCAAGAGGGCCTATTGATTCAACCAACCAGGCCTTCTGCTGCTAGTGACCATGACTGGCCCCATCAGAGCTTCAACATCAACAGATCATCTGCTAATGCTTCTTCTGCAGCTTCTGAAAGCGCTTTGTGGGCCACCACCACCTCTGGTAACATGAACACCACCACCACCACCAGCGCTGGGCCTTCTCTGAACCCAAACCAGTGGCCTGATCTACCTGGATCATATGGCCCTCCTAATTGAGACTTTTCAAGCATGCATTTCTTGCAGCAGCTCCCTCAACCTCCAGAGACCGTACAGCATGGCAATTAATTATCTATCTGCATATGGATGGATCTCATCTCAGCCCATGTTCAGTTCTCATTTCCTATACTGGGCTAAATTGTTTCATTTACTCGGTGGTTTAAGTAGGTTATGTATAATCTTTGTTTTTCATGGAGCATAGATATATATATATATTATTTAGAGAGAATTTGGTGATGTGAGTTTTCATTGTAAATGAAAGGAGGAGCGTATAGCGGTCGTAATCATATATAGCCTTTTGTTTCCATGGGTTGGGTTGATCTATGATTAGGTTGTTTGTTTTGAACTTAAAATTTCATCAAAAGTTAATGAGTTAAATATGCTTTAATTGTAACTTTAATTGTTTGCTTATTCATCTATACTATTTAGATATTTCAAAGTGATGGCTTTCTGAGCAATCTCAAAGTATGATGCAAGGATAAGGGAAGCTTAGTTGAAATGTGTAGAAAAGTTGATGAACCAAGATATATGGTTAGGTTTGTTGCATGTGGTGGGTGACTGCACTGACTGTGCTACAAATGCTTTTAAATGAATCACTACTTGAGACTCGGAGTTCCAAATTGCTTTATGATTTATTGTCATCAGGGCGCTTTTGTTGGCGAGTTCTTGCTTAATTAAGATTTTAATTTCATATTTAGTTAGAATTTGGGCTTTTGTTTGACAGCTTTGGCAGGCTTTAGCCTGCCTGCCTACCACAGGCTCTTTTTCTTGCTAGTGTGGAATGGAGATAGCAAAAGAGGATTATTTCTGGCCTGCCAATCACTGTACGTAAAGTGAAAAAGTTTCACACAGTGTTTCTTTATATAATATTTAATCATTCTTATCAATAAATATATAATCCAAAAAAGTGTTGGCTGCGAATGCAGGCATAGCTTGTTGTAGATGTACAACAATTTCGAATGGATGGTGGAAATAGAAGAGGAAAATAAAAAGCCTGCATGGCTGATCCCATTTGAAACAACACTTACACGTTCTATAGGCAGAGTCCAGCACTGGCTCTGGGTGGCACAGTTAATTAGCACTACGTTTAATTATTTAAAGATTAATTAATGAATAGATTGCAATGGGATTCTTCTACAATACATACAGAGAATGGTGGGAGGGCGTGAAGGTAGGTATATTGTGGTTTCCCAGTAAAGCAAATCTTTGGTCTGCCATAGAGAGATCTCTGTCGCACTACAAAAAGCAGTGTGAGACCTCTTGGGATGCAATACAAGCCGTACATATTTTTACATTTGGATTTTCAGTTTTCACATGGTTAGCAGGCGATGATTTTCAATTTCTTGCTTTAATGTTGATGCATCTTATATGAAAACTAATATCTGCAATGATTATTTTAGTTAATTGAAGAATTAATTGGTCTTAATTAACCGATAGAACCATCCATAGGTGCATATATGCATGCATTATTAAGCTCGTAATTGCTACCTTTTTATATAGTGTTAGAGTGGTACCAGCAGCTAATCATGAATAATGGTGTAGTACCACTTAGTAACGAATGAATTATGTCAAAACAAAGCAGCACCTACAAATAAAATAAGTGGATGTAATAATATGCTCTTGAAATTGATCAATGGAATATAAATAAAAAGATAAACAAATTGGATAAATGTTCCATTGAAATCTATCAATATCATCCTACTAAAACTTGTTTCTAACGAGAATAACACTGTTTTGCTATCATCGGCCAATAACATAATAACACGTGAAAAAGTTATCCAACGTGTCATTGCATTCTTAATTAAGAATAACAAAAAGTGTTATCCCATTTGCATGATAGTTTCTCTCCAGCTGCACATATCGGGGAAGGAAACAAAGTTGGAGAATCCAATCCCCATCTTTGGTTGCTTGTTCCCCAAGAGAGGTCTATAAATAATGGGAAATATTGGAGTGAAATTTCAACTCAAAATGTTTCACTTCAAACTTGAAAGGGGGTTGTTGGAGGTAAATACTGGAGCTTTGAGGACAAAAGTATAATGAGTCTCTACATTAGTGGGGAACCTTCCCCATCTCTTTACATGCCTTTCTCTTGTTGAAGTCCTTTCAAAGCTTGAAAGCTCCCTTGGTTGGTGGTGACAAATGCATGGAGGAACAATCCAGTGTCTGGCTTTAGCACCACGTCTACATTTTCATGATTTTGATGTGTGGGGGCCTTTCTCGTATTTCTTATATCTCTATAATATTGAAGCAAAATGCAGAAGTGGTGGGCCCACTTGGCCGAAGAGACAAAGACTCCTATATGGAAGAAGTGGACTTTCCATCAAATTCACATCCCATCGATGTGGGACTCAAGCCTTCTCAATGCACCATCATTTGGTCAGCTTGCAGGTCTTTCGGTTCCTTGGACAGTTTTGTGGACTTGGCCACTTGACCATATGATGTGTTTGAGACATTAAAGTGTGTGAATATACCCCAAATAGTATGTGAAACTAAATCATAAAAAGTTCATTTGTAATTAGATTCTCAATCAAAACGGTTAGAGCAGTGATTTTGTAGCTTAAGTAATTAAAAATGGTTAAGCATTTAAGATTATGCGCTCAAATCAATGTCGTATCCTTATTTTAAAAGATAAGAGGAATAATAATTCTGGTTATTTATTTTTTGTCTTAGAGCGTTTTCACCCGTCGACTGTAGCCTGGGCAGGACAGGGCCCAAACCCAGGGAAGCGCTTCCAGGGGGCCACGCTTGCCAAGGCAAGCTATGGGACCCACGAAATCGGGCCAGCCCGCATGCCAAACCAGCTTGACCTCTAGCCTGGGTTTGCTCACGTAAGCGATGATGTCAGCAACAACAAAAAAATTATAAAAAATCTAAAAAAATATTTGAAATTTCAGAATTTTTTTATATAATAAATACTTAGTCATATTCTTTACTTACCACACCAAAACTCTATACAAATTCATCTCTTCATATCTCATGTGAATAGTGGTTGCCATGACAATGGGTGGAAACACGACAATCTTTTGCAATAGCTGCCACTATTCACATGAATAGTAACAGCCCTTGTCTTGCCCTTGCCCTTTGCCCTTTGCCATGCTAAATGGGTGAAAGTGCTCTTAGTGGGAGTGAAAGATCAAAAGAGATCCAGGATCATGTATAAGATGGGGTTGACTAGCAAGAAAGGAAGTCGCAAAATTCTTTTGTCTTGGCAACAATGGCACTAAAGGGGTTGCTTTTGAGCAAAGGCTTGACCACACCACACATGCTTCTTTTCTTGTTGTTTTGGATTGAAGATAGCGTGGAGAAGGGGTACTTGAATCACTACTCTACTGTGCTATATATATATTCTCTATATTTGGACGTTATTATTGAGCGAACGTCATGTATTTTGTACTACATCTCTTTTCACAGGATAATAACGTATGAATATCCGAATAAGAGAATATATAGGTTGTGCTTGCGAAGGAATTTGCCAAAATCAGCCATCACCAATCTAATTATTAATCTCTCCACATGCAACTGCTCATGTCTGCACCTATGTTTCCTCGCATTGGTCGACTTGTCGTCTTCTTGTTGGCTCTTTCAGTTGGCTGTCGTAAGAGGCTTGTGACAGAATGTTTAAAGAAAACATAATGTATTTGGTAGGGGAATTAGGAATGTAGTTAAATTAGATTTATAAGATTACTTCAACTTTGTGTGTGTGTGACTCTCTCTCTATATATATGTGTGTGTGATAATATTATTTAAAAACAAATGTCTATATGATCTCCTACTCGATCATTAACAAATGCTGGCCTTGTTAATGTTAATAAAGTGGGAAGAGTACTTGTTTCAATCTTGTATGATTATGATGTTTGAAAAACAATGATGTTGAAGCTGAACTATTCAAAGGTCAACACACACAGAGACACGAGATATATATATAT